AAAAAAAAAAAAATGTCGAGACTAAATCAATTGTTTATTTTTAATTAATAAAAACTCAGCACAGTGGTGACGTGCATAGTTGGACTCAGTATAGATATCTGACAATGATTAAAATCACTATAAAAAAAAACGCTTCGATGCAAATTATTAGATAGTGTTTAATTTTAAAAAATTGGTGGATTATTCCAAAAGCTACATGATCTGCTATTTCCTTATTAATATCCTGATTAAGATAAAGTATGTCAAATGAAAAAGGGATTATTAAAAAATATTATTTCTCATAAAAAAATAGTGTTCATCCATACATTTAAAAAATATCGTATTCATCCATTTATTTTTAAAAAAAGTTATAGAAATATAAAATTCAAAAAATTAAATATGAAATTAATATTTTCAACACAAAAAAAAACTACAGATGTATATGCACAATTGAAACATTTAAATTTTACACAAGGTAATGGGAATATTTTTACTAACAATGAAAATATATTACTTTAATAATATCTGGTCCAGTAAAAAAGGTAAAATCATAATTTTTTAGCGGATTTTACTCATTTAAGTGAAATGAGAAAAATATATTTAATTATTTAGGGTATTGTCTTCAACAATGTCCCGTGAGAGCTAAGAAAAAGTAGTAACAGACCATAAAAAGAAATAAAATAATCTATCATGATAAAATTAATACCTTCTTGGCTTCTCATCAAACCTATAAAAAGTGATTTAATTACAATTTTATGATTAATTTAAACAAATTATTAGATCTTTAATGATTTTATTTTAATTACGAAATAGTTGNACATTTTAATTACGAAATACTTCTCTACATTCTTAACATTTTTTAGAAACTTTAAAGAAATAATACACCACATTGGTTAACATATAAACAGGAACAATTGTGTATAATAAGTACAAATAATTAGTACTTAAATATAACAATAATTTTAAATAATAATAAATAATAATAATTTCAAAAAATTTCTAACAATATAAAAAATCATCTACAATAAAATATCTTTTGAAATTTTTTTTTTCTAAATACATTATAAGTACATCTTTCATTTGACATACTTTTTATTAAAATTGGACAATTTCCCCATATATAGGAGACGTTCAAAACATGAAACATTGTATAAAAAATAGAACTTTTTCAATTTAACTTTTGAAAATGTTCCGGAAATACTGCGTCCTTTAAACATATATAAAATTAAAGCTTATTTTATGTACTATAAAATGAAAAAAAAAAATTTGTCCCGACGACCTATCTTCTATGCGCAAATGGCTACCATATTCAAAAATATGCTATTTTTCTATTAAAAATCTAGGTTTTGTATTTTATTTTATTTTAAAATATCTTATTAGGAGAATATATTGACTTTCATGAATATTATATAATTTATAAGGGGATTACATTGATTTATATATTATTTCAATCTAAATGACATAGTATAAAAAATTAATCATATTTAAATTTTTTTGTTTCTTTGAAGTCGAGAAAAATAAGTTTAAAATTTGAACTAGCTAAATTTCCATTTTTATTAAGTGACGAATGAGACGTACGGTTTTTGAAACGGTAACACTTGGGTCTTTCACGACTTAGGCACTGAATTTTTTTTTTAATTCTTTTTGAGTTAAAAAAAAATGTTTAACTCATTTGATTTTTATCTCATTTAGATTCAATAACTTCAATAAATATCAAGGATTCCATTACTGTAGTCTCCTCTCGTGAGAAGAAATTCATATTAATATTATTTTACTATGTGGTTTTTTTTTTGTAGCTATCATTTATATTTACAGCTCTCATTTGACCTACTTTTTTGACAAATTTTATTTTTTTAAATAAAACACTATCTACAGATTTGCATCGAATCGTTTTTTATGATAGTGATTTTAATCACTGTCAAATATCATCTATACTGAACCCAACTATGCCACGACCCCACTGTGCTATCGTTTTATTTTATTATATTTAATTTGACAATTTTTTACACCTATAACTAGCGGTATTATATTTAAAGTTGCACCCCCACAACCAGCACCCACGAGCCGCCACTGATAACAATAATACAGTAAGATTAATGACTAAGACGTATATATGAATGCGGGCGAATTCAGATTCGGAATACACAATAAGGCCACATGTGTGACGGATTGAAGTTACAGGTAAACTGGTTTACATAGTTGCCGACGTGTCTCGCGGTGCTTAATCCCCTGACCTGTCCTGTCTACCGACCGCCGGACAAGACAAACATAATATTGTATAAAGTGCTAATTGTATGTTTACAGTTGAGTCAGAACTCATCAGTAAATTTGGATACATCCTTAAGCATTTCAAGTGTGCGACGGTAAAAAGCTGATAATCACCACTCGATAACATGCTAATAAATCATAACGATAAAAATAGTGAGCTATTTCAGGCTGTGTCATGATATCGCAACAACAAAATGTTATTTATTTATTTACGCTCAAGTTAAAACCATACATCGCAAACGTTAATATTATATTGTTATGCAAAAAAAAAAAAATGCACTAGTGCGATTTATATATTGATTAATATATTTAAAAATACTTTCATAAAAAGTGTACAAAAGTTTTTAAAAGTATAACTGGAAAGGTGACCTATAAAAAAAAAAAGTGTCGAAGTTCACGTAGACACCTTGTGCGAATATCTTAAATAAGACCTTAATTAAGTCGGAGTAAAAATGTAGCACAAAAANTTCACGTAGACACCTTGTGCGAATATTTTAAATAAGACCTTAATTAAGTCGGAGTAAAAATGTACAAAATGCATGACAAATATAATATTACATATACATATTATGTTAGTTTTATCACATTATTTATAGTTTAGATTTACATTTTTAATTAAATAATTTATTAAGCTAATAGTATTTATATTTTTTTGATTCAATAATTTAATAATAACTCATGCATAAGTAATGTCAAATTTTTTGAAATATTAATTTTTATTTTCGCATAAGAATCTATTGAAAATTTTTTTATTAGAGAAATTGTAAGAATAAGGTATAACTTTTTGATAGCGAAATTGTATACTTAAAAATGACCATAATTTAATAATAACTTTTCCTACAAGTCTGAATCTAAATTAGTTATAAAAAGATTTTTTCTGTTTGCAAAAAATAACATCATAGAGCTAAGGTTGTTTTCAAATCCATAAGAAAGTTTTTTTTTTTATAACATTCTAAAATAATATCGATTGTAATATTTTCCCAACTATTAAATAGATGATTTCTGATAATGATTATCAGAGATATGTAAACATTGCAACTAATAAGGGGGTGATCCGNAACATTGTAACTAATAAGGGGGTGATCCGTAGTCCTTCTTCTGAAAAGAGCCGTTCTCAAAGCCTACATTTCTTGTTATGTTGAATTTGTGAAATATATTAATAAGAAAAGTTTCATGTTTAATTTCTATATTAACCCTCTCTTGTAAATGAATTTACACTTGATATAAACAGTCAATTTAAGTTACTAACAAAATAAACAATAATGAACAACAGTATAGAACTATTACAATATTATGAACACACATACATCACAGTATCAGAATTTAACAACAACAAGATATTAACATGTTTAATAATTTCATAATTAAAAATAAGTTTAAAAGTAAAAGTTCTGAGGATTATAATAAAGACAACAAATTTTTTATAGAAAATTATTTTATAAGATATTAATGAGTTTAAACAAATTTTATAATTTTGGTTTTTAAAAAAGTAACAACAGCTAAATGTACGGACAATTTAACATTAGTAATCATTTTAATATTTAACAGAAATAGTAAATTACTGTGCTTCAATTATTACATAACATATATTGCCGAAAAATTCATTTTTTCCCCATTATTTCATAGCCTGTCAAATAAGAATAAAACTATATTTTTTAATGTTTACACATTGTTAGTTATGATTTTGGATTTTTTAATTTTTATTATTGAAACTATCAAATTAAAGAGCAACAACGAATTTAGTAACTTGTATTTTAACCCTTATATGATAAAGTAGGTTTTCATTCAAAATCAATAGAAAAAGACATTTTTCAAAATTTCATAAACCACAATCCACATTTAATATCACTTCTAAGATGTAATTGATCTTGCAATAAGCTGATCTAATAGAAGTAAATAATTTATTTATTATTTTATAGTTCGTTTTGCAAAAACATAGCTAAATATACTTTTATAAAAATTAGCATTTAATTTCCTGAAATAATAATCGAATAAATACTAGTAAGAGTTCATTTTAAAAACATCAATTTATATCAAAATTTATTGGGACCAACATGTTAGGAAACAAAAAATATATTTTATAAAAATGATTATTATAAGGGCATACCTTCTTTATTTCTTTGAACAATATTACATTTTAATTCCTTTGATAATGTGTCATCAAATGAGAATACTTGTAATTTTAGAGAAAAATAATAGTATGTCCAACGTTCTTCTTCATATAATCTTTCTAGGACAGTTTCTATACTCTTAGATTTAGAATTTATCTCCCTTAAAATTATTTTGCATTGTTCTTCATCGAATATATTGGGGTTATCCACTCCAATGTCGAAATAAATTAAATTTAATTCCATAGCTTCAAAACATCTCTTATAAAGTTGATCTATCATTTTAGATTTTAATTTTAAAAAATTTTGTGAATTTGCTAATTTTATTATATCTTGAAAAAACGTATTGGTATTGATTAAATGATTTTCAACACTTTTTGGTAAATTTATCCTCATGTGATAAATTATATTTTTAATATTCACTGCTGCTTCTTTCAACATTACTTCAAAAATTTGGACTCTTGAAATTACTTTACTTTCATTTGTATCATTACCGAAAATTATTTTTTTCAATAAAAGTGTAAATTTGGCAACGCAGTAGTAAACAGGATAAACTGTTGCAGCTACTATTTGACGTTGGAATGATTCTACACAGTCAACATCAAATGTGTGTTTAATCATGTCAAATAATACTGCCATGTTTGGATATTCACCATTTTCCAATTTTTCATTAATCCGAACATCAATTATTTCATTTAATTTATCTCTTTTACTTACATCAAATAAACTGGAAAACAACATTTCAATAGGGTGATAGGAAGTATTTTTCATTATTTCATCTTCGATTTTAATTTTAAAATGAAATCTTAAATTGATTTCAGTATCACTAACTCTATTCATTGTTTCATCGATGTTATTTTCCATAAATATAGTTTCAATCCATAACTTCTTAGGTAATAAATTATTAATAATCTTATGACTGACTTCATTTTCATCTATAAATTCGTTTCGAATGACAATGTCAGGGAAATTTATTTGATTACCTTCATAACATGCATCTAAAACGTTTTGTTTTAGTTGTGCAATTAAATTTGGATAAATTTTCTTAAATTCATCTATAAAAATTTCATGATTACTTAATTCTCTAGTTTGATATGTTACATTTTGATATGTTTGCAATAGTAAGGTATTGAAAAGATTATTCAAGTAAAAATTTGTAAACAATAATCCTTGCGAGTTTTTGAATGCATTTGTAGACCATGACTTTATTGTTTTTTCTATTTCATTTCTTTTTTGACAATGTTCATCTTCTATTTGTTGAAGCATTGTTACTACAATTGGGCCCAAGAATTGAAGACCCAATGAAAAATTTTCAATTAAAATTGGATTGGGTGTATTAAGTGATACAATTTTGTTGAAATACATAACTTTGGCGTTCAAATTATATAATAAATACTTACTATAATAGCAATCGAGATATATTTCACTCGAAATTATACTATAGAAACATGATAGTATTAAAAAAATAAATACTAAAAATTTACTTACCATTTTAGTAGTTTAAAACAGTTTTATTGCAAACGCGATAATAGATATTTGAAAAACAAAAATTTAATATTTTTCTTCTTATATATACATATATTTATTGCCAAAATATATGTATTCATAAAATTGATAAAAACATGTGTGTAATAATTTAACTTGGTATTAATAAATAAATATATAAATCATTTTTTCTTCCTATATGAGAATCGCGTTTTCAAATTAAATTACTAGCTTAATGTTCATAAATGAGATAATTATTTGAATACTTACAATTCTTTTAAACTTATGTCGCAAATGAGGTTCTTAGAATGTGTGTGATTTTAAAAAATGAGTTTGTTTTACAGTACAGAGTGATCAGTTTATCATACAGTGTAATTGGCTAACGATGTCTCACATAATATCTTTAAAAATACAAGTTTTATAAACAAATTTATTTTTTAATCATTATGGACCTTTGATAAGCTGTTTAGCAAGAAAAATTAAATATCTATCATCATCCCTTATACACAGAATTTGTATTAACTTCAGATTTTCAAATAGCAACTCCTATTATATTTATATATTTTTGTTCGTCATAAAAAGAAAAAAATATTTAGCAAAATAAATAAAGAATTATGAATTTTAAATAAGTTATGCTACTTTAAAATGTACGATATTTTCTGAAAAAATTTCAGTAGTTTTTCCAACGCCGTCACATTATTATTTTATGTTGAGCTACAGGTTTACTGTGTCAATGCATATAGTCATATAGCGCTTATCGATTTACGTCCTATTACGTTGGAGTCTATTATAATTTTATCTTCATAAGCCCTAAACTTTATAGAGTCGTGGGCACTTAATATAAAATAAAAAAAAATATTTTTTTTATTGAACTAAATTTAATGGTGTAAAAAAAAATTGGGTTGCCATTTGAAAATATGAAATTGATACAAGTTTTAAGCATAAAGGATAATGGTAGAAATTTAAATTGTTTTTTGAAACACCTCATCAAGGATTCATAATGATTAAAAAAATATTGTTTATAACACTTGTATATTTTAAGATATTACGTGAGACAAAGTTAGCCAATCACTTTGTATACCTTTCGATTACTAACAAAATAAATACAATATTGCAAAAATTATTTTTTATTTTATTTGGTTATATATATTTTTTGATTAATCAACTTATAAATACTTTCTAGGAACATCTCTTATAACATAAAAAGGTGTCAACTTTATTTTTTTTAATGGTAACATTCATATTTAACTGGCTTAAGAAATAATCTAATTAAGAAAATGATTGGGCGATAACAATTTTTGGATTGGTACTTTGGAAGTTATTAACAGTATTAAGTTAAAATTCGAAGTGCAGAGTGGGTGCTGCTATTTTTATCATTAGTCGTTGTTGTGGGGATATCAACTTCTAGTTGACATCCAAACAACAACCATTTAAGTTATAAGGGATAATGCTAAAAAGTCATTATTAGCTGATAAATTTTATGCAACTATACTGTATAGTGACTCAAAAATAAATATAATATTTACACCGTGTGGTTTGGTATGACCATGAGGATGTTGAGTTACTACATATTCATTAAAAAAAATAATATAATATAATTTTCTCTCTGTGTATGAGTACGAATGTTTTATGAAAAGATATACAATATAGAAAGTGATGTGTGAAAATTTATTAATATAGTAATAATTTGAAATAGAAATTATCGGAATTATTATCATACTAGTACTTAGTACATAATATCAATAATGATACTCTTACCAATAGTTATTTCAGCTTGTGTTGACTGTAAGTCGTTCCAATAAATTTCTTGAGTCGTATAAGAACCACAAATAGGTTCTTTATCTTCGCAAGAAAGTCTTTATTTGTATTGACCACATAGATAACACACTGAAAGATTGGACTAATCTGGTTAAGTTCGTATAAACGTTATCCATTTTGTTTATTTAAACGTTATTTTATTCTAGTGATCGCTTAATTTTTCTGATTCTCTACTTAATTTACGTACTGATTATACTGAACTTTTAAACCTTATAAATTTTCTGTGAAATTTAAGTTAACCTTTGTGATGTTTGAAATAAGGTTGACATAAATGTACTTATTTTTAGCTTCGATGCGAAGCTGAGAAGGTATTGGTTTTACTATGATGTGTTTTTTTTTATTTTTTTGTGTCTGTTACCACTTTTTCTCAGCTCTCACCGATCCGATTTCTTTCAATGATACGTCAAAAGATCACAAATTGTATCTAGTCGAAGACATTACCCTCAAAAATTGAAAAAATTTCCCTCGTTCCGCGTAAATGGGGGAAATCTCCAAAAAAATTACAAATTTAAAAATCGCTAATTTTTGAAATTTTTGAAATTTTTTTTACTAAAAACTTTTTCAAAAAATAAACATATCAATATTATTTTTTTTTTATAAATGCTTGATGTCTTTACCTATCATTTGGTATATATTTTTTGTAAATCTGACCATTTATCTGCTCACAGGAGGGGATTTAAAATGACAACTTTTTCAACTTAATTTTTTAAAATGTTTCGGAAGGTCTGTGCCCTTTTGTATTAAAGTCAACCCATGTATATATGTAAGATGTGTTGCGACATTTTACTATACCCGAGTAGCATTATTTTGGTTCACGGTCGGTTCAAGCGACCCATGAGTGCTGGGAGAGTTCAATGTTCAATAATGAACCGTATAATTTTATATAAGTTCTAGGAAAGTTCAACGTTCAATAAATAACCGAGCAATTTTTAAAAAGGTCTGAGACCGTTCAATGTTCAAAATAATCGTACGGATTCATCAAAGTTCTTTGATTATAATTCTTTCATTATAATGAAAGAATCGTTATAACGGTTATAGCCGTTCCCTGTTCACTCTCACATATATATTTAACTGAAAAGTTCAATAAAATGTAAGTACATTTAATTTAAATTTAGGAGTAAAATAATAAATAGTTATTTTAATTAATTTTAATAATATCATATATTATTTTTTTTAAAGATAATCATACATTTTAGTAACTACATTTATTGTAATTGTAATAGATACATGTGGTAAATTATATATTAAATTTTCGCATTTTGTATTATGATTAATTATAATTATAATACAAAATTATTTATTTTAATTTAGTACCATCGTTAGTTATGTTGTTATTAAGTTATTAACGGACACCTCAAGATTTTCCATGAGCTTAAAATGTTGAACATTTTTAATTATACATCATTGTCGTTTACATCATATCCTTAGCCTTTATCCCAACTATTTGGGAACGGCTCTAGCTTATTTTTAATTGTCTTATTTATTGATTTTTATTCATACATGTGAAACAAATTACTTCTGTATTTCAATATTTAAAATGGTACATTTTATATATTTCTCAACATTGTATACATTGAAATACCATCTCATAAATAACTGTTGATTTTTAATGAAAATCCCTCTATTGTGCTACTCAATAATTTAAATTTATCAAACATTTTAAGTTAAAAATAATTGAATCTATTTGAAAGAGAATTATATTTCAATACTTCAAATTTTAAATAAATGAAAAGTATTAAGCTTAAGGTTTTCACCGTTTAACAATTAACAAGGTTTTACATTAAACAAGATTTTCATCCGACTCATATTTGTAATTATTTGTAACATTTATACAATTAAATCAACAAGATTTTTATACAAATCAACCAATAAAGGGCACATTTTAATCTATGAGGTACAGGCTTACATGTAACCTAAGCAATTTTAAGATATAAATAAAACTATTCACAGTGGTTTTCCTTAAATAAAAAACAAATCTATATATCTAGGTCGTCTAAAATACCCAATATACAAAACACAATTATTTTATAACTTAAATAATAACAAAATCCAGCACAGGGGGGTCGCGGCACAGTGGTGACGTGGCATAGTTGGATCAAGTATAATGATATCTAACAGTGATTAAAATCACTATCAAAAATAAACGCTTCGATGCAAATCTTTAGATAGTGTTTAATTTTAAAAAAATTGGTGTTTTATTCCAAAAGCTACTTGATCTGCTGGTTCCTTATTAATATCTCGATNTTAAGTTGAAAAAGTTTTACTTTCTATATGCATTTTTTATATTTGAAGCCCCCCCATATATAGGGAAATAGTCTGATTTAAAAAAAAAGTATATCCAATGAAAGATGTATATAAATACTACTTCTCATGAAAAAATTGTATTGATCCATACTTTTTTTAAAAAGTTATAGCACTTTAAAGTAAAAAATGTAAATTATAAAATCGAGAATTTTCACACAAAAATAGCATTCGGTAGCCGTTTTCACCATGAAGATAAAATAAAGTCCGAAATTTTTTTTTTGTATAACAAAAGATATTACATTAGCTTTAATTTAAGATATATATAAAAGTGTCAGACCTTCCGGAACATTTTCAAAAGTTAAGTTGAAAAAGTAAATTTTTTGTGAAAAAGTTGTCATTTTAAATCCCCCCCTGTGGGCAGGTAAAGGGTCAGATATAAAATAAATATATACCAAATGATAGGTAAAGACATCATGCATCTATA